GAGTGGAAGATGTTGTTCATGAGACCAGGAAAGCTTTTCTAGGGGATGGGCAGAGGGAATTTTTTAATAATAATAGATTTATTTTATTTTTGATAATGTTTACATACTTAACAAGGATGCATGCCCATGTGGACCACTGATTAAGGTGGGGAAGGTTGAAAAATGAAGGAAAGTGGCTGAGATAACTGCCTCCTCTTTCATTTTTTCTTTCTGTATCTTGAGAAAGTGGGGAAGAGGGGGAGAGGGCTGCTCCCGGCGCCCAATGGCATCAGCACCTCAAGGATGAGGAACAGTCACCCAGTGTCATCCCAGGGTTCCAATGTGAAGCATGTTCCAAGGGTACTGCTTAAATGGTTTTGATAGTACTAAGATGCCCTTGATTTCATCGCTCTGCGGTTGAGGAAATCCTTCCAAGGTCCATTGGATGACATAGTCTACCTGAGAGTCTCCATTCACCCAAATATTTGCTCTCAAAGCTTGGCTGGGTGAGTTGTCCCATCTGTTCTGTCCTCCTTGGTACCTGAAATCCTCTGCAGTCCTCAGTGAACTGGTCGTCATGTCCTACATGTGCATCTACGCATGCTGTTCGCTGCACAGGCTTCAACAACTGAGGACACTCATTTCTGACACCTGCACTTCATGGTCAGGCCACAGGTCCTGTGATTTTACTCATGGTAAAGTTGAAGTTCTCAGTCCAATGGTCCAACCAGGGGGTCACCAAAGAAACCTTAACAAAAGTGACTCTTGACCTGAATCCTGTGTGTGCCAGCTGGTGTAGAGTCCAGCTCAGTCCATCACTCGTATCAGCCTATGCATGCACACTTGTGGTTGCTGTCACCTGGTCAGTTCCTTCCCCAGCCCCATTTCATGTGCAAACCAATGGATGCTACACACAGCCCATTATTACCCACCATACATTTGGCCATTATGCACACTACTAGGAACTGTAGTCTAGTTGAGGCTTCCCCTACTAACCCTCCCTGCAGCCCTGGTTCCTTGCATGCTGGTGTTTGCAGCAGACTGGTCCAGTCTGTCCAAAGGGAATTTTTTTTTAAGTTAAAAGGAACTAAGTTCAAATCCCAGCTCTGTCACTTTCCACATATATATAAATCAAGGAAATTTCCTAATCTATTATTTTAAATGTCATCACTCTTAAGGGACTAAATTAATATAAATAATTGGGTCCAGCGTTGTGGTGCAAGGGGTTAAGCTGCAACCCATGATGCTGGCATTCCATATGAATACCAGCTGTTTGGCTTCTGAACAAACTCCTTGCTAATGCACATGGGAAAACAGTAGAAGATGACACAAGTGCTTGAGGCCCTGACATCCATGTGGGAGACTCAGAAGAAGCTCCTAGCTCCTGGCTTTGCCAGTTGGAGAGCCACTGCAGCCATTTGGAAAGTGAACCAGTGGACGAGATATCCCTCTGCTTCTATCTCCTTCTCTCTGTATGACTCTTCAAAATAAATAAACCTTTTAAATTGCATATATGGATCAGTCACTGATTCATGTATATAAGCAAGTATTTGCTTTCTCAGAATAAAAGAAGACTTCAAAAGCTTCATGAAAAACACAGTATCTTATAACTCCATTTTTTCATGAACTTTTTGAAGTACCCCCATAGAACCTCCTTTGCTGCCTATTGTATTTCATATACCTATAATGAGGGGATTGTGACAAAATCAGCACTTCAAAGCTGGAATTTCAGAGTTGTTCTCTAATAGAATTCTATGTTGTTTTCCCCAGCTGCTTTTCTAAAAAGCTATCTGCAGTCATTTTGATGTATGAGGAGTGGTATAAGCATTTTTACACAATCCTGTTTGACTAATTTTAAAAAATTTTGTAAAGCCTAAGCTTCATTGGGAACAAAGGTAGTTTGAAAACAGAAGCCAGTGACACTGTGGGTTAAGCTGCCACATGGAAAGCCAACATCCCATTTGGAATGCTGATTTCAGTCATAGCTGCTCAGCTTGCAATCTAGCTTCCTCCTAATATACCTGGGAAGGCAGTAGAAGATGGTCCAAGTAATTAAATGGCTGTTGTCCATGTGGGAGACCAGGATGAGGTTCCTGCTTGTTGCTTTGGCTTAGCACAGATCTATCTGTTTTATCCATTTGAGAAGTGAACCAGCAGAGAAAATTCCTTCTCAGTCTCAGTCTCTTTCCCTCTCTCTCTCTCTCTGCCTCTCTCTCTCTGCCTCTCTCCCTGCCTCCTTCCTTCCCTCCCTGCCTCCCTGTCTCCCTCTCTCCCTCTGCCTGTCACTCTCCTTCTCCCTTTCCTCTCCCTCTCTCCCTTCCTCCATCCCTTTTTCTCCCTCCCTCCCCCTCCCTCTCCCTTTCTCTCTCTCCCCCACTTCCCTGTCCTGCCATCTCCTTTTTTCACTTTAATTTTCAAAATAGCTTTTTTAAAAAGTAATTTTTAAAAATAAAATGTTCCAGGGCCCGGCGCGGTGGCATAAGTGGTTAAGGTCCTCGCCTTACACGCCCAGGATCCCATATGGGCGCCGTTCTATCCCAGCAGCTCCGCTTCCCTTCCAGCTCCCTGCCTGTGGCCTGGGAAAGCAGTCGAGGACAGCACAAAGCTTTGGGACCCTGCACCCGCATGGGAGACCCGGAAGAGGCTCCTGGCTTTGGATTGGCATAGCATCGGCCGTTGTGCTCACTTGGGGAGTGAATCATCGGATGGAAGATCTTCCTCTCTGTCTCTCCTCTCTGTATATCCGCCTTTCCAATAAAAAAATAATAAAAATAAAATCTTTTTAGAAAAAAATAAAATGTTCCAGCAAATAGATCCCTGAAACACCTGTTACCAGTATTTGAGTGCCTGAGTTCAATTCCCAGCTCTGTCCCATATCCCAGTCTGTCTGAGGCACACCCGGGGGAACAGCCAGTGATTGCTTATGTAGTTTGGTTTCTGTCTATTGCACGGAAGATTTTGAGTTCCTTGCTTCCAGCCTTGGCCTGACCTGGCTCTGGATGTTGTGGATGTTTAGGGAGTGAATCAAATGGAAGATCTCTGTTTGCTTCTCTATTTTTTTTTCTCTCACCTTCTTTTTCTCTTTTTCTCTCTGTCTCTCCCTATCTTTCCCTCTCCTTTTTTAGCAAACTTATTTTTAAACATGAGAAAATTTACTTTGAATAATGGAATATAAAACGAGTAGGAAGAACTCTGACAGGTTAAAATGTTCTATTCAAAAAGACAGTGATGGGATTGTGAGAAATTCTCTAATATTGAAACAACTAAACTAAGCAGTTAACAGGGTCCTAAAGATGTATTAGTGGTCCTTTTGTGTTTGTTTGTTTACAGTGCATCTAACATAAATTCAGAATATTTGAAACATGGTAAATAGTATCTATTGGGAAAAAAATTAAAATTCAAAACGAAAAGTGCAAAAAATGCTTAGATGGTGCTGCAATAGAGTTTCTCCTGAATGTTACTGATATTTGCCTTTTTATGTTTCTCTTGCCAGAGTAGGATGGGGATAGGACTGAATTATGCCTATCTTAATATCACTTTGTTTCTGTTTTCCTACTTGAAATATTGATGTATAAACCCCTTCCTTTAATTATTTCCCAGAGATGTATGAAAAGTATTCATTTGAGTGTCTGAATAGCTCACAAAAAAACACAACTACGTAAATTCTGGATCAATTTAATAGATTTTTAGGAAATTTACAGTAAAGTCATACACTGAAGAGATGAATGACATGCCTGATCTTGTGTGTGATTTCCTAAGTACTAAATACTCACCGTCATCTTTTTGTTATTCTTAAGTATTTTTCTCAGAACTACACAGTCTCAAAGAGTAGACATTAGCCTCAAGTGGATATTTAAAATTAAAGTTTAATGATTTGGGGCCAATACCATGGTGTAGTATGCTAAGCTTCCACCTGCGGTGCCAATATCCTGTGTGGCAGCTGGTTTGAGTCCTGGCCCTTCCACTTGCAATCCAGCTCCCTGATGATGATGAGCTGGGAGGGCCTGGTAGGGCTTGAGCTGGGAGGGATAGGTCAGATTCTGGGGCTCCTGCACCCAAGTGTGAGATCCAGAAGAAGCTCCTGGCTCCTAGCTTCAGGTTGGCTCAGCTCCAGCCATTGCAGATATTTGGGGACTATGCCAGTGAATGGAGGCTATCTCTCTCTGTCTCTGTAAAAACTGCCTTTCAAGTAAAAATAATCTTTAAAAACACATAAATAAGTCTTAATGAGTTAAAACTGACTAAAATGCAAAAGTCTGGCCCTTGATTCTAAAAGCCACATTTCAAGTACTCAGTAGCCACATATGAATAGTTACTACCATATCATAAGAGAGAAAACTTTTGGTCATCAGAGAAAATTCTGTTGGATACTGAGGCTGAATTCTGTTTCTCTATGGCCCTAAGGCACCCACTGATAGAATTTCAAAAATTAACTGACCTTGGAATTTATGAGAGGATGACTTCATAATCAGGTCAGTGTCAGATTGAAGGAAAGCTAGAAGCAAGTGAAGAGGAACTAAATATGCAATCGAGAAGATGGGATGGCAGTTAAAAGAATCCACACTGACATTCTTAGGAAAAGATAAAAAAAATGGTTCAGGAAATCAAGCTTCAGCAGAATTTTACTTGAATTTTACTTACAGGCATTCATCGCATGTAGTTTGCACCAAATACATCAATCTATCCTGACTTTCAGCTGTTCTAATTGAGTTTGAGGTGTTCTCGTTAAATCACACAAAAACTGCTTCTTGAGATTATGATGACACTTACCCTACCTTCTGTAGAGCAGTAACACCTGTTAAAAATGTTTTCTTCCCACAGGCATCAGAAGCTGTTGCAGAGCTACTTAGAATTCTGTCCAGAGCTTTTATATTTATCCTACCTGAGACTATGTGTTCAGTCAGCTTTCATGCTTCCACATGTTTTGTTTTCTACTGCTTGCATTAAAAAAAAATGATTACTGGGTATAGGTGTTATTATCCCTAAAAGTAAGAATATAAAATGTATATGTTTGCCTCCAGGTCATTCTGTCCATTGAAGAAGGTTACAGACTTCCAGCTCCCATGGGCTGCCCTGCCTCTCTACACCAACTGATGCTCCACTGCTGGCAGAAGGAGAGAAACCACAGACCAAAATTTACTGACATTGTCAGCTTCCTTGACAAACTGATCCGCAATCCCAGTGCCCTTCACACCCTGGTGGAGGACATCCTTGTGTAAGATGCATAATGTTGTGATTTTTTTTTTCTCTTGACAATCATAATTCCTTTCAAGCTATAGACAAAAATAACAGGTAGAGCGGTGGGATTGCCTTGGTGACTGTCTACTTGTCAACTTTGTACAAAGCTTGTTTCATTTATCAGCTGAGAAGAAAAATTATTAACATTTTAAAACTGGATCTTTTTAAAGAAAAAAAAATTCCGCTTCTATTTTCCCTGCATCTCTTCTTTTTTTAAATAGCTTTGTTTATACTTTTCCTGTGTGGGTTTTGATATTTATATCTTTTCTTTATTTTCTGGTCCTTCCTTAAGCTGTGTGTGTGTGTGTGTGTGTGTGTGTGTGTGCGCGCGCGCGCACGCATGTGTTCATGCACAGACAAGAACAGACAACAAGGCAATTTGTGAATCAGCCAGAAGCAAGGATGCTTCCTGCTGATATGATCACATCTAGCTGATGTTACTTCTATTCCTAAAGCCAGAAAAGGACAGATGACAAGAAAATGAAAGCATTCATCATATACCATTTTATAAAAGTCTATAGGGTTAAGAAGATCCACTACCCCTCTCGGAAAAGCAATTATAAGAGGAAAAGTCACGGAAAATAAGGCTACCACCTGTGTTCCTAAATGTTATGTTTAAAATATCATGATGTTGAGAAAGCATTTATTTAGGCCAAATAGGACTTACAAATAATCAAAGCCTTTCCAGTTGTTGTCCTGACTCAAGAGATGCTCAAAAGTATAGACGTTTAACTAGAAGTACAGGTTCAAGTCCATGAAGATTTGAGTGACAATAAGGCCAAAGCTCTTCAAGGACTGTTTAGAACAGGCCTCAGTTCACAGCAAAGCATAGAAAAGTTCGCCTGTAAATCACTAATTGGCAGCCTCAGTAAAGTGAAGCCAAGCATGAAATAGCTAGAGATTAAACTATTACTCTAGCCCATCTTCCCTAAAGCAGTCCACCTCAGGAAGCAGTAAGGGGGTGGGGAAGAGTGGAGACACTTTGGGTTTTGTCATTAAAGCATCGGACAGTAATGAAGGAATTTAAAGGAGCAAAAAAACATGATCATATTTGCGTTTCTGACTGTCCACTCTAGGGATGACTCGGACTTCAAGTGTAAAATAGGGAACAAAGCTGAAAACAAAGAAAGCTGTATGATTTCCTCAATCCAAGCCAAAAAAGACTGTGTGGCCTTACATGTAAAATGGAAATAAGCTGTTGATCAGGACATAAAATATGATATTTATTATCAGGCAAGGACAACCCCAGGGACTTGCCCACTCTTTGAATATGGAAGGAAGGGGAGAAAATGAATCAAGGATATTTATGAAACTTCTTTTTTTCTGACAAGTTGGCTAATGATACTACTACTGAGAGGAAAGGGGTGAGATATTACAACAGAAAGGAGCCCATTTTGAGCATACAGGTCAGAGATGCTGTAGCATATCTAAGTGGAGATGATCAATAACTAATTGTTCGGAAGTTGAACATCAGGTGAAAAACGTGGACTGGAGGTACAGATTTGAAGATTAGCGACATGCAGATTGTAAGTGAAGCTTTAGGTGTCATTAAGATAACCCACAGGGAATCTAAAGAATACAGATTAACAGAGGAAAGCTTTGTAACATTGCACAACATCAAAATCGAAGGCATGAATTGATTACAGGAAGCATGCTGAGAAAGAACAGCCGAGGGAAATGAGGGAAACAGAGAAGGAGTCATTTCCTAAAAGGTAAAAGAAAAGAATTTCAAGGAGTAGAATATCCAAGGCTTTGCCAAGCTTCAGTAAAATAAAAAGTGAAGTGTCTGTTGCATTGAGTAATGAGGTGTCAGTTGTTCACGGACAGCTTTGACGAGTGTTTTCCGCGCAGTTGTGTGAGACAGCAGAGGAAGCATGCATATGCCATCAGAGAGAGGAACAATGTGCACTGCTAATTTCATCTTCCAGAAACCTGTCCTTGATGGGAAAAGGGAGACAGAGGAAAGTTTTCTTGGGTTTTCTTGGGTTTTGTTGTTGTTGTTTTCTATGTTTTGTTAAAGGAGACATGGAAATAATTTACAATTGAGGGACAGTAGCTAGAAGAAGGGAACCATAAAGCAAACCTTTATTAGTGAAAGAGGTCGTTGGCATCAGTAAAGTGAAAGAATTAGATCTGGGCTTCTCAAAGTAAAATAGGGCTATCGGACTTCACTATCAGTAGCATCAACAAGGCTGCCTAACTGTCGTATTGCTACAGAAGCAGGCAGGTGAGAGTCTCTGCCTTTTCAAGATTCTGAATAATCATTGTATCGGGAAGTGTAAGTGCAGAATTTCAGATAAGGAAAAGCCAAAGGATGCAGAGGTCATGTGAGGATGGAGGGTGGTGTGTACAGGCCACACGTGTGACTTCACAGGATGTGCGTAATCCTGCCTACCTGACCAGGACACCACAATTTCTGTGACTGCACTGCCACACACAGGCCAGGAGTTGGGTACTTTATATAAACTTGGCAGCTTGATTTGATTCTAAAGTCTAATCCCTGGGAGACCAAACGGAAGCTTTTCTGACTGGTTTGCTATCCTTGTTTCTGACAAAGATGTATGTGCTACTGCCGTTGCTCATATAATACACTTTTGTTTGAGAGGGAGAACAAGCTGAGTCCTCGGGACAGTCCGTGTCGCAGGACTCGTCGAGTTCCTAGCTCCAAAGCAGACCACCCTCCTTACCCCCCAGTGCCTCCAATCACCCTGCTTCTGGTCCCAGAGAATGGGGAGTTTTGAAGAAACAAGATATGCAATAGATTAAAGAGTAGCAAAGTACACTGAAAAGGATCTGGTGTGTTCTGTTTGTACAGATTTGACAGCTGTCCCTCCATCACCAGGTCCCAGAATCCAGTGGTGTGCTCCAGATGAGTTTGGATTAAGGCAACATGACATAGTGTAGAGTTTCATGCTTTACTCCCCTGTGTCTCTCAAACATGTGAAGGAGTATGTGTGTGTGTGGGAAATCCACATCCCCTCTTATTGTCAAACTCTCCTCTGGTTCCCCAACCTCTAGGGTTTCTTTCACACTTCTTTGCTGACATAGCCCTCTCATCTGCTAGATCCCTGTGGGTTTTACTCCGCTTTAATTGCTTTTTTCTCAAGAATTCACCTGAGAAGTTTTTATCCTTTCTCTTGACAGCATAGTACGAGAAAAGGAAATGAAGGTGAAAGGGGAGGGGATGGGAAATACTAAGAAACGCAGTTTAGTAATCTCAGACTGGCATATTAGAAATTTCGTAGACCTGAGGTCTGTAATATTTCTTTGCAAAAGTCAGGGCACCTAATTGGAAGAATGTTGCTCAGAGAAGGCTTCGGGGATGCAGCAGCGGTTCTTACGTTTTTCTGCTGCGAACATTATTGTTCCTGATGCATTCCCGTGGCAGTACTCAGCACTATGTGGCTCCCCACTCTGCCACGTTATTCTTTTGTTACAAACACTATGTTCAAATGTCAGTGGATGTAATCGTTATTATAAATATAACTTTAATTCCAATTAGCTGTAAAAACTGTACAACAGCCATACTAGTATAAAATAGTCAGCTTTTCATATATGTGAATTTCAAACCACCCTTATTAATCCTTCCTTCTGCAATGGGTTATGATTTATAACAACTTTTGAAAGAACCATATGCAACTTGTGGGGTGCCCAACCCTAAAGTAAGGGCCCAGTTGAGGTTGTGAGTTGACCAGCACCTGGATCAGTGTCTGGCCCTGCAATCTGAAATGCCTATGGCCGTCTCTTCCCCAACCCTCAGGATCAATCTTGTAGCTGCTCTCAACCCTGACTTAACTGCCACAGGATACAGAGTTAAATACTCTAGCTGAATAGCACAAAGTGGCTGGTGACCTTACTGCGTACACTCACCGAGAACTACCCTCGTCCATTTTATCCTACAGATTATGGAATACTGAACAATAAAGAAGCCATCCCAAAAGGAGGATGAATGGCACCAGTCTCTGGTAGCCAAATGCTTCAAAAATTGTGCTCTTCCCAGGCCAAGGCACCTTCGAGTAGTGGACCATAGATAGGGATCTGACAGAAGTTTGACTCTTAAGAATTGTAACAACCACCTACCTTAATTCTTCCAAAGCCTTCTGTTGTAATTCCAATTCTTTTAATAGCTACTGTTGAAATTTCAAAGACCAATATTTCAAATACCAATATTTCAAATACCAATATTTTTGTTAAGAGAAAACAACCTAGGCACAGCACAGTAGCCTCGTGATTAAAATCCTCACCTTGTATGCGCTGGGATCCCATATGGGTGCCGGTTCTAATCCCAGCGGTCTTGCTTCCCATTCGGCTCCCTGCTTGTGGCCTGGGAAAGCAGTCGAGGATGACGTTGGGACCCTGCACCTGCGTGGGAGATCCAGAAGAGGTTCCAGGCTCCTGGCTTCAGATTGGCACAGCTCTGGCCATTGCGGCTGCTTGAATTAGTGGACCGAAGATCTTCCTCTCTATCTCTTCTCCTGTCTGTATATTTGACTTTCCAATAAAAATAATTTTTTTAAAAAAGCCTATGTTTTAAAGATTTGTAACATACAAAGAATGAATGGTACTGCCTCCCCTCATCCAGTTAATAATACAACCAGTAAGTCCATTTTATAAATGCAATAACTTTCAACAATTTGAACTAATTTTCTTAATACTTGTTTCCTCTCATTGGAAAGACAGATATACAAAGAGGAGACAGAAAGAAAGATCTTGCATCTGCTGATTCACTTTCTAAGTTACCACAATGGCCAGAGCTAACCTGATCCAAGACCAGAAGCTTCTTCCAGGCCTCCCAGATGGGTGCAGGGTCCCAAGGCTTTGGGCCATCCCCTACTTCTTTCCCAGGCTATAAGCAGGGAGCTGGATGGGAATTGGAGTAGCTGGGACAAGAACCTGTACCCATATGGGATACTGGCATGCACAAGGTGAGGATTTAGCCACTAGGTTATTGCACCAAGCCCCTGAAATAAAATTTTG